TTAAGTCTGATTGTTAAACTGATAAAAATACAGAATACAGACATAGAATGGATCAATATGTCTGATCAATATTCACAGGAAATAATCAAACTTCCTGCTGTTACTGTGTTCACTGTTTATCAGCTGTTCTCTGCTGTTATTGATATATTATTGATCCTGATCAATATGAAGTATACAGTAAATACAGTCAGTTTACTGAATCAACCTCCGCTTTGACTCCTGGCTGCTGTCTGACACAAAGTGACCACAAGGTGGAGCTATCTGCACAGAAAACTCAAGAAGACACAGTGGATGAAGTTCACACCAAACTTCATAGAAATTTGTTGCGTTTTAGAGAAACATGATGAAAACAAAGAGAAAGGATCTCGTAATAAAAACACAGAACTGGAGACAGCAGCAGCAGAAGAGATCAGTCCTGACTCTGTTATCTTTCCAACTCGGAGCAGCACAAAGATTCAGGCTTTGCTTTCCTTTGCGGTGTCGCGTTACTCAGAGTCTGAACTCTTACACAAACAGAGGCCACGGCTCGAAGCCTGGGAACCGCCGAGCGCCAACGTCGGCCAAACACTTCAGGTGTCTGAGCACACAAACACGCCAGCTTCAACGGCAGATAGCAGCGGCTGATTAGAGCTGTCAGAGTTTTCTCATGATGCCCTGCTCCTCCTCCCTGTGCAGAGGTGGGTGGTATCTGCAGGGCGTTCAGATCAGTATGGAGGTTTTACAGCATCAAACCAGAAAAAGACTCAAAGCTGACATGATGTTTCTCTGTGTGTGTTTCTGCTGAATAATAATAGTTTCCTGCACACAGAGGAACCCCTGAGAGCAGCTTTTGTTTATATGCATACAGATATTTCCTGTAAATCGCAGCCTAAAGAGAAAACCTCTGCCTTTGAAAGCTGATCTGGTTCTGTTTTTACCTTTAGTAACGCTCACAGGAAACAGGCCCTGATACATCCTGAGGTGGCAGCGCTCCAACTTCCTCCTCATCCTAATTGTTCCTCTCACACCAGCAGAACTCAGATACCCACTCCCACCCTCAGATACCCACTCCTCCCACCCTCAGATACCCACTTCCACCCTCAGATACCTACTTTCACCCTCAAATACCCACTTCCACCCTCAGATACCCAGCCTTACATACCCAGACTCAGATACCCAGACTCAGACACCCAGCCTTAGATACTCAGCCTCAGACACCCAGACTCGGATACCCAGACTCAGATACCCAGACTCAGACACCCAGACTCAGACACCCAGCCTCAGATACCCAGCCTCAGACACCTAGCCTCAGACACCCAGACTCAGATACCCAGACTCAGATCCCAGCCCAGACGGATGATGAACACATGATGATGTGTTGATATTAGTTCAGACCTGGTTACTGTAACAGGGCGGTTCTCGTCAGGAGGCCCAAACAGGATCACGTAATGACTAATCTCACTGGAAGTAAGAAAACTGTGGTTTGTGCCACAAACGTTCACCTCCTTAAAGCTCCTAAAACTATTCACAGTACAGATCTGAGGAGAGAAACAACAACTGAACGTTGGCTTTCAAAGTCAGATTCAAACTCAGTTTCTCTGCTCAGCTGCTGGATTTCATCCACATTTGGACATTTTCAAACTATTTTATTTGAGGATTTTGGATTCTTTTAGTTGAGAAGAAAAATGTGTAAATTCCTCAAGACTTTGGTGGTTATCCACAGAGCTGCAACTTAAAGATTATTTTAATAAATAAATCTAAATAAATAAAATAATCTGCAGATACGAAACCTTTCACGATAAATCAAATCATAGATATTTTATTTACCCGTTAAGTTAAAGAAGTTACGATTCAATGTATTCAATTTCTGTTTGCAATTTATTTTTAATTTTTTACAGTCATATCGGCGTTTGCATTGATCGATTTCACAATACAAATATATTTTTGATATTTTCTTACAATCCTAAAGTTCATTGATTTTCTTTTGATCTACTAATTCAATCACTGAATAATCTGATTCTCTTGTGTTGACTGGATTTTAAGAACTTCACAGTATCTGAGCACACAGAGGTTATTAATCAATACGTCTATTTTTTTAAAAACAATTTTAGGAAACCAGTTAAAAAAGTTCCTGTAACATCAAACATCAGTTTACAAAAGCCGAGCTGTGAGAATCGAAATCACCAAACAAAATATGGTGATTCAATATTGTTTTATAATAAATATATATTTTTTTTTTCTTATCGTTCGATCTACCAATGAAGTAATCGACTAATCGTTGCTGTTCGTGTTAGAAAAATGCTCGATTGTTGACTGTTTCAGTGTAAAACTGATGGAAGGCAGCAGACGACGGAGGGTCGGAGGTCAGTAGCTTCCACCGCTGTGGGAGTTTTACCTCGCAGTTTTCATCGCGCTCCTGTTTTCCTTTCCACTCAGGTGGCGTTAATCCCGTCCCAAAACCCCATGAAGTGCATATCGCTCACGGGGTGCAGCTCTGTTTCCCCTGACGTAAGCTCAACAGTCCGAGTGTGGAAACTGCTGCACGACACTTGCTTCAAACCTCTCCTTCAGCTCCAAACCTCCAACTGCTGCCACCAACGTCCAGCTCAGAGCCTTCATTCATTAGGTAATCTGACTGAGATTAGAGCTTCTTCCCTCTGGTTCGCTTTTCCAACACCCTCAGTGACTTTAAAGAACATTTATTCTGTTTGGCCTCAGCAGGTTTGTTTTGGTCGGCAGCCGAATCGAACATCAGCGTTATTCACTTCCCTCCTTCACACAGCATATGTCTACAGACACCAACAACCCTCAAGCTGTCAGATAAAGAGCGACGAGCCTCTGACTGCCAGCGCTTTCTGCTCCAGACTGCTGGTTCCCAACCTGGGGGTCGGGGCCCTCACTGTGGCCCTATAGCTCAGTGTTTGGTTCACTTTTGTGCAAAAACTAAAGTAAACTGTTGTTTTTAAAGTGTAAATTATTATTATTATTATGATTATTACTAAACTATATATCTTACCATATATCTTCAGAAGTTGACTTGTCTTATGAATTAAATATATTTTGTATCCTCTCAAGTATCTCTCCTATTTTATATGTACTTGAAAGCATCATGTTAAAACTGTCAACTTTTCAGGCACGAGGAACTGTCTAGCTTTCTGTGTTCATCCAGGCAGCTTTAGAGGCAGAAGGGTCATATCATTTTCTCAAACTATGATTGTTCATTCAAACAACCAGTTTGTCTTTTATTTACTCCTAATTCAGAGACACAGCTTCAGACTGAAACACAGAAATGAATCGGCATTTCTGAGTCATGGGTTCCCTTTAACAGCTTTTCCTCTTTGGGCTTTTTAATGTATGCTGAAGGTCTGTGGTTAACAGAAATGTAAGAAAGTCTCATTACTTTGTGTTATATCTTCTGAATATTTTTAGCTGTCCAGTTACAAATAGAAAAATTATTTTCATAATTTAGCCAAAGTGAATACAACAGTAGCACAGTGGAGGTAACTTCCAGTTTAGCCTCGAGGATTTTAAAACAAGGTTGTGCAGTTGTCATCATACAATGTTGAGAAAAGCTATATCCCAGTCTCTTGTATGTTGCAATAGGAAATGTGTTTTTATAAGAAACATAATTCATCCCATATTACATTTTTGATCAGTGTAACAAGGAAATATTTATGTCGGACATATCTGCAAACTGTTCAGTGCTAATGAAAAATGTTCATACTGAATGTAACATGCCCTGTAAATGTGTTTTATTTGTTTTCCTTATATGACAATATGACATCTACAATAGAATTTTAGCTTTTTATGGTTAGGGTTGGGTAAAGATTCTACTCTTGTACTTCTACTACTACTAATGATAATTTTAATAATAATACCTTTATTTCTATAGCACTGTTTTCAATATAGTTACACAGTGCTTTAACAAAGGGCACCAGAGACATAAGAAATAAGAAAAAACAATAAAACAATCAAATTAAATGTGTCCAGGAGATATGATTATTATACAAATCAGTTAAAAACCCAATTAAAAAGGTGTGTTTTTATCTTATGTTTAGAAGGAAATACAAAGGCAGTCATTTCACAGTTTATGACAGTAAGTGCACCTTTTGTCAATCTAGACTCTGGAACCGTGAGAAGGACATTTTATGTGTACTCATGTACACAGGTCAGAGACAGAGCTTGGGGTTAATCTGTTTAATGCTATTTAAGAAATAAATACAATTGTGAACTGTAAGAGGTGTTAAAACTGGGGTAATATGTCTTAATATATGTCTTTCTTGGCTGAGCAGCTGCATTTACGACCGATTGCAGATGATTTAGTGCTGAATATAGAGAGTTACAGTCGTGATGAGTCGAGATTGGAAATGACTGACTTTCTCCAGGTTAACAACACACAGAAATGCTTTGATTTTTCAGATGCCAAAAACACAAATGACATTGGGCACTTTTCTGGTCTGAGTTGAATTTCTTTCAACTTGAGGTGTTCAAACCACTACTCCAAAAATGCAAGGTGCTCCCATCGAATAAACTGTGAGGCGCCCAGGGAGCATAAGCAGTGCACAAACAATAATGCCCATGGAAAACAACTAGGAAAGACGCCTCTCACTGCAAAAACTGTGCTCCGTCAGATCAGGCCCTTAACTAAGGGTGATGCAGCATGTGAATCCCAGCCTAGTTTCATAGTGCTATGTATTTTATGCCCATCACCTAACTTCTGTGCAGTATAGGAACATCACATTTCCTACATTAGAAACAATTGTTGCCAGTGAATGCAATCAAGGCAACAATTACTCATATTAGTAGAGCGGAACTTTAATTTTAAGGATTTGCTACTCATTCTTTTCATGTTCATACTGTATATTTAGAGGTATATGTGCAACATATAATATTTTTGTGTTTTGAGGGGGCTTTTATTGCCTTTATTTGACAGTGACAGCTGTAGAGTGACAGGAAAGAGGGGAGAGGATAAAGAGAGAGAAGAGAAGACGAAGAGAGAGAGGGAATGACAACACAGCAAAGGGACCCACAGGCCGGAAAATCAAACCCCAATGAATGATCAAAGAACTCTAGCTTGATTACATGGGGTGCCAGCTCTATCAGGTGAACTACCGGGTTGCCATGCATTTCATTTTGATCCACTACATGAAACATGTTGACAAAACTGTGTACATCATAAATTATTTTTACTTACCCCATCACACTATCATCTTGTGTGAGTCTTTAACCATGTTTATTACTGTAACCATGGTAATGAAGGCCCCCTGACCATAACAAAGTACTTATTTTAACCCAAACTGTAATCTCTCCCTCAACATAACCAGTTGTTTCTGTGCCTAAACCTACTGATTTGTCTTCCAATAGTGATTTGGTGACCATCTTGTCTATAGTGGGGTCATATCAGAGAATGGTCCTATGTGTTGGTCTGGATAGTATGAAAAAACAGCTTATTTTGTCATTTAATTCGAAGGACTTGTTGTAATTTGATTATTGAGATCACAATACAGTATGTTACCTGATGTCAGTTAAAAACAAGAACAGGAAGTTTAACTGTTTCATAATACACCTTCTACATCCTATCACTCTATCCTATCTATCTTCTATCTACTACTCTACTCTACTATCTATCTATCCATACTCTATCTCACTCTAGTCTAAAACTCTATCTATCTATCTAATATAATGCTTGTGCGTTCCTCTGGACCCAACATGAAGCATATGGGACAGCAAACATATAAATCTCTCTTGCGTTACATTAGAGCAGGAGCGGACACACCTTTCTCTACGAAAATGTCTGAGATGATTACTCGAGAAGAATCATGAGGTAGCCAGAATTTAACGAGCAGACGGAGTCCTTCAGACCTGGAACAAGTACCCTCTGTGGTGCTTGTGTTTAATGGCCCCAGAGAGGATATTGCCCCCTACCTCTGTAAGAGGAGCTCTCCTGAGTCAAGTGACTTTGATGGGCTGCCCCCTGAGCCTGGTGCTTCTCCGGCATGGGAATGGAA